ATGTTACTTGAAATTCCGGATGGGGGATATGTGTCTGGGTTTTTATTCAGATGCAGGAGGCAGTGGGGGGGAGCAGTAATGGAGCTGCTGGGACCCCAGTGGCCTGAGCCTTGTTGAACAGCCGTGAGGCTGCCGCCGCAGGTCTCATCCAGTCAGGCCTAACAAGATTAGATTTTCATAAATTTCAGACAGTGCCAGTTCCTAATTCCTCCGTGTATGACCAGCAGGCCAGACAGAGCCTTGTGCCAGCTGCTTGTTAACCAGGAAGGACGCCGCTGCCTCCCCTGGGACAGACACAGGGGCAGGCATGGGGGTGGGGGGTGTCTGGTCTGGAAACCCAGCGGCAGGAGCCAGGTGGACTCTGCCCAGTTCTCTAGCAGAGGAAGGAGCTGCAGCTCCAACTCCCACTGTGCTCCAGGAAGCTTGGTGACTGTCGCACCCTCTCCTCGATGCCAGGTGGCCCAGGCATGTTCCTTACCTCACATATATATCACCAACCTCTACACAGCCCTCTGCCCCATATACCTAGGAAGGAGACAGTGGATTTGAATCCAGGACCTGTTCTGTGCTTAGTGCAAGCACAGGAATCCAAACACTGCGGTGGAAAAGAACCGAACCTGTACCTGAACCAACCTGGAGCTGCCATCACAAACATAGGCACCAGCCCACAGTCTACCTGTGACAGGCCACGGTAGAGACCACATGTCTCCTCAAACCACATTACCAGCGTCTCTCTCATGCCATCTCGTGTCATTCCTGTATCAAAGTCTGCTTAAGCGTTTCGTAACTGTATTTCAATGTAATTGGCTTCCTTTTTTAACCTGACATATTTTATCTTAAAAACCATACTCGGAGACTTTAAAGCATCCACAGCTCCAGGGTGGGGCCAGGACCTCCACTGTGGGAAAAAGATGCAGAGCGCTGCCCAGACACCCACCACGTACACCAGCTTTGCTGACCTGGCTTAGCCTGGCCTGTACTGGTCACTGCTGCCCCTGGACTCTGAGGATCAGATGGAGATGCTGTCCCCATGCCAGGTGTTTGTTGTGTAGGATACGGCAGGCTGTAAACACTGATGTGTCCTGGGAAGTACCCAGGACTCCTGCTGCTTGGTCCCTAACCCTCCCACAGGGGCGCTGGGAGCCCCGCAAGCCTGGTGGGAAGTGATGTGCTGGGCATTTCACATTATGTGTGACCGCAGGTCACATTCAACACAAGCCCCTTGCTGGACCCTGCCATCCTGCCCAGGGTGAGGTCCCCCCAGCGTCCCTCGTTCTGCAGAACAGATGAAGGGATTCGTGGACTTCTGTGGGTGGAGACAAGCGCTCATACTGATGCTGCTTCTTGTTCACATGCTCTGAACTCAATCCCGAGGCCCCTGAGGGTGGGAGAGGGGCCACCATCCTTCTCCCAGTGGGTCTTTGCTGATCATTTGAGCGGCCTGCCTAGAAGGGTGTGTGGACGGGGTGAGGAAGGGTCACACGCTCAATGAACAGTGCCTGCTGTGAACGTGGAATGTACAGCAGAGTCAGAGGCCGGCACTGAATGTTAAGTGTGTTGTGTGCCAGGCCCAGGTAAGGTCTGAGGCCAGGTGGCCAACACGAGCTATACAGAGGAGATGGCTGCCCGTACTGCTGTCCTGTGATGCCACATGGGAACACAAACGGACCACAGATTATGGAGACAGACACACAGATACCCTTGAGCCCCAGTAGCAGGTGCTTGCCTGGTGCCTTTTCTGAAGGAGCAAATCCCTGTCAAAGGCAGGTGCCTCCTGGTTGTGAGATGGCACAGAGGAGGGGACTGTGCACAGGACCAGAGCCCCCCCTGCCCCATGGCTAAGGCCATTCCTCAATGAACCTACCCAAGGGCCCCCAGGCTGCTAGAGGGGTGTCTGTTTAGTCTCTGTCCTCACAGTGTAAGGGTTGGGTAGAGGTTTGCTAGAACTGAAAGGAGGTCTAGGGACCTCCTCGGGCGGACACCCAATTCAGGCTGGGGGACGGGAGGGCTTCTGCCCCCATGATCTCTCCATGCACAAGGTAGTCCAGCAGGTACCTGCCTCCTGTCTCTGCTCTCAGTGTGACCTCAGCTAGCGGCCCGTCCTTTGCCCTCCGCCTCCTTCTGCGTCCCGCAGGGGCTGCTCCTTCAGGCCTGCTCCCACCATTCAGAAGACCCACTCTGTTCTTGTGTAGGATGCCCCCGCTGTGATTCCAGAACCATCCAGTCTCTGGATGCCTGGGCAGCCGCCCTCCTCTAGTTGTAGTGGGTGCTGGTGAGAATCCCGTGTGCTGAGCACATCCCACACATGGCTTTGCCACGCAGATGTCTCCTCCATGTATGAAGGGAAACTGAAGGACTCAGGGAGGGCCACCCAGGGCCAGGCTGGGACCTCAGCTGTGTGCTTGAGCCTCTGATGCTGTGGTGTCTCCGAGCCATCTCAGGAACTCCTGTGACACTCCCCTCCTTGCCCTCTGCATCTGGATGCCAAGTCCCTGGACCCCATCCAGGTTAACAGTTGTCCCCTTCACCTCCGTGATGTGAATTTTCTGGTTCATTCCTTGATGGGGTTGGTGGCTACCTTCGTGCTTACAGAGCTCTGCTCATTTCTGGAAGCGATCCCACTTTCCTGGCATTCAGATTACTCCATACCCGGGTCTGACCCACTGTCCCAACTCGTCAGCCTCTGCCATCCCTAATACCTCAGCCACTATCTCACCACTCCATCTCCTCACGCCCACCACCAGAGGACACAGGGTGGCCTGACCTGAGTCCCTTGGGCTGCCAGGGCCTGGGACAGGAACAAAGGCAGCCCACACCACTCTCCCTCCCTCCCTCTCTCTCTTGCGGTCTGGTGTGGGCAGAGGCCATGGAGACAGCCAGAGGGGGTGTCCCACTTGGGGTGAAAAGTGCACAGGGTTGAGGGGAGGGAATTGAATGCCCTTTCACGGCAGGGGGGTGTGTGTGGGTGTTGCACAAAGCAGGTCCTGTGTGTCCTCTGTGCACACAGCTTTATTTCGGGCCCTAACAGACTGACCTGTGCCCTGCAGAATCAGACCAGGCTGCCCAGGCTCTGGTTCCTCCCTGTCTGGGGAAGCAAGAGGTGTGGCTGCAATGACCGATCCCAGGCCTGGCTCTTGCCCAACCCAGGCTCCGCAGTCCCATCGGGAATGGGAGGGTGTCCCACAGGCAACTCTGGGGACCTGGGGCTCTGACAAATCTTGACAGAGCTCTTTGTTGCTTCATCCCCGTCTGGCCCCTCCAGGATAAGATGTGTGTGTGTGTGTGTGTTTTGGGGGGAAGTTGTCCAGCCCAGAAGCCTAAGCCAAAGCCCAGATTCAGGTTGGATTCCCCAGAGCTGGGCAGACAGCTGGGCAGGAGGACCACCATTTCTGGGCTCTTGGTCTTGGTGGTCCTGCCCTTGCCTCTGGGTCTCATCTGCACACCTGCAAGACAGACTCCAAAAAGCACCAGCGGGGAGATTGCTCTGCCCTGCACTGCATTTGTAGGGGCCATGCTGTGTGGGGCGCTGAGTGGGCTCACTTACTAGACGCAGGTCACATTTGCCGGTTGTGACACCAAAGGTGACTGCAGCATTGTCATGTATCCTCTTGAGATGTCCTCACCCCTGGTCTAGAAGTTCTGTCTTAGTGGCGTTGTGTAAACAATGGCACTATGAGCAGAAGTGCAAACGTGTGAAGTGGTGAGGGAAGGCTGTGTCTAGGAAAGAGGGGGTGCCAGAGGATGTGGGACAAGTGAGGCATTCTGCAGGGAGAAGTTGCTGCCCATTCACACACAGTCAAGGGCCCTCCTAGGACATGCTGCTCCTCTCCCCAGAGCTTTGGGGAAGGGAAGCTGGTGGCAAGACAGGCTTGAGCCTCACGGGTTGAAGTTTGAGTCCGGTTCCTGTCTTGGGCAGAAGGCTGAATCAGTGGCCTTGTGTTTGAACCCGTTCCTTTGCTAATTGCTACCACCTGAGCAGCACTGGGAAGTCTTCTAGCCAGGGCTGGGGATGCATTCCTGCACACCTTGGGCAGGGCTGCTGGGGCTGGTGCTGTCCCTCTTCTGTGTCCCCTCCAAGGCACCCAACATCTTGCCCATTGCTGGGGGCCTGCTGGCACCAGCTGCGGCCAGCTGCTGAACACAGGCCCGCCTGAGTCAGCAGAAAACGCCCTACTCAGGCAGGACCAAAATAGCCTTCTTCCTTTTCCAGCACTTGAGGGTTTTTCCGCCTTCAAGGGGGAAAAACAAACCAAAACCAAAAAAAAAAAAAAACCCTTTAACAATGAGAATTGCAGCATCTGGAATGTTGTTTTTCTGATACCTCTTCACCAAGAGGGCCCAACCCTGTCCTCTCGAGGGGTGTGCTTGATAATTATGGGGGAGAGGACACATGTTTGTGTGTCCTTGTTTTGGTGTGTACTGTGTGAAGAATGTTTATTAGGGTGGTGGGTGTCAGGGTGATTGGTGTGGAGGGGTGTTGGGGTGCTGTCTGTTATTTGGAGGAGTGGTGGGGTGTTCGTTGGCATATGCAGGATGCTAGGTGTGAGGCATTGATGTGTGTTGTGGTTGTGCACACGTACTCACACATACCCCTTCTTTGTTTCACTCTGCACCCATGTCCATCTGTACACGGGTCACCTCTTCTCCCTGCTGCCCCCTGCCAGGTCCCTGGCATTTTGCACGGTGACAGGGTCAGATGCACGGGTTCCTTTCTGAGAGTCAGGACATGCTTAGCATTAGGAACAAACGCACGGGTAGTGCTGAGAGTGGTGAGGTCTTCGTGCGTGCCCTTACCCTGGGGGCAGTCCCTGCAGGTTGAGTCTTGGGCCTCGGGCTCTGCTCTGTGCACTGTCTTTGAGGTGTCCCCCTCCCAGTAGAACCACTTGCCCATGTGCACAGGAGAATGTCTCCCCAATCATGGGGTGGGGGTGAGGGGGGATGGAAACACCCAAGGGGCAGAGCCTACGCACCGGGGTCTCACATGTCCCTTGTCTCCACAGCGGAGCTGGAGTTCGTCCAGATCATCGTCATCGTGGTGGTGATGATGGTGATGGTGGTGGTGATCACCTGCCTGCTGAGTCACTACAAGCTGTCTGCCCGCTCCTTCATCAGCCGGCACAGTCAGGGGAGGAGGAGAGAGGATGGGCTGTCCTCGGTAAGTGCCCCATCTTGTGACTGCACCCTGATAAAATCCCATGTTGTCCCTGACTGGGGTGCTTGCCTGCACTGGGTTTTAGGGCAGGAAGACAGGGGCTGAGATGCCCACCCGGGATCGGTTTTCTCCCTGTCAACGCAGACACTTCATCCAAGTGGACATTTCTGTGATGCTGGAGGAATGGAGGGAAGCAAAGAGCTGGGTAGGAGGGGGTGTGGTCTGCACGTCAGGGGGTTTCTGGGCAGTGGGCAGCAGACTGGACCTAACTTTGTAGAGCTGATGTTCCAGGAGAGAGAGCCTGAGTCTCTCCCTAGCTCCACCGGTCCCAGCCGCGCACCCTGGGCCAGTTCCTGATGCACAGAATGGGGCTCCACTCTTGTGTGTGAAAAGTGCTAGTGATGGCACCCAGCTAGCTAGCTCTGAGTGACGGCCAGGTTCTTGCTGCTAGAAAGCACTTCATGCATTCATGACTTCATTCATCATTCAACAGATCTCTGCTGAGCCCTACTATGCGCCTGAGATCCTTGGGGATGGGGGGTTTGGGAGCAGGAGCAGATCCCAGAGTTGCTGGTGGCGGACGGTCAGGTGCAGACAGGTGCTACTCACAGAGAGGCCTCGGCTTTGAGGACAGTCCAGGCCAAGCTCCCAAGGATAAAGATGGGCTGCAGGTAGGGGATGAGGACAAAAGAGCTGGTTCTCCATGTGCTGGGGTTCCGTACTCTCACATTCAACCGACTTCAGATCAAAAATATCCAAAGGAAGAATGTGCATCTGTACTCAGCACAGGTGGTTTTGCTTGTCCGTGTTCCCTTCACAACTCAGGGCAACAACTCTTTACACAATGACATTGTGTTGGGCATCAGAAGTCACCCAGAGATGACTGAAAAGATAGGTAAGGAAGGATGTATGTAGGTTCTATGTGAACACTGCCATTTTCTATAATCTGATGATTTGGGCGTCTCGGGGGTCCTGGAACCCCTCCTCTGCAGATACCAAGAGAGCCTTTTGTCATTTCCATGGTGTGTTTCAATACATTAGTACCGGGAACATCTGCGGGTGTTCTGGAAGTTCCAGGGTATCCCCTCAGGAGTCCACCTCAGGGCCGGGATGGATCAGCTACTGGTGGGTGGGAACTTATCCTCTTGTGATGCCCAGCACCCTTTGGGGGCTCTGTCCTGCAGTCAGATTGAAGGGAGGAATAGCTATTGCTAAATAGTTCCCACCTCTGTGCCTGGGATGCAGAACTAAACTGCTGGAAGCAGCTGTCTGAAGGACAGGCTGAGGTGACAAGAAGAAGCTGGTCTCCAAGCCAGTGCTCACCAGGTGCAGGAAGGATGGTGACAGGACAGGCTGCACAGGTGGGGCTCCCCAGTTCCCGGGGACGCCTGGGACTGGCAGCAGTACCCAGAGTCTATGGGCTGAGCCAAGTCAGTGTTGGCTGCAGCCTGAGCCAGCAGGGCTGCCCCTGGCAGGTCTGGATGTCTCTGCTTATGTCAGGGCACGAGCATTAGCTCTGGCACCTGCACTAAGGATGCCGGCACCCTAACCCAGGCCCCAAGTGCATCTGAAGGGCACACTCTGCCTATGGCCCAGAGGATCCAGGTACCTCCTCTCACTCAGGTTTTTGTCTACTGTTGCTGTCACCCAGCAACAGGCACTGGCATCTGCGTGGCAGGAGCTCTGTGTGCCATGTCTCAGTCATCAGCTTACAGAGAACAAACCACAGCTTAGGGAGGTGGAGCTCTTGACAGAGGCCACACGGCTTGTCACTGCTGGGGAAGAGCCCATGCCCACTCGACGAGGAGGCAGTTGGCCGAGTGTGGGAAGCACAGTGAGAGGTTCTGACATGGGAGACTATCCTTGATAGTGTGGAAGGGAGACAGCCTGCAGGCAGCTTCTGGCCTTGGATGCTGAAACAGGCAGGGTCCCAAGCGTGGCTTCTCAGACACCTGGAGTGTCTGCTATACTCTCTCGACTCAGCACCCACATGAGCCCCTGGGGACTCTTAGTGGGGTGAACACAGAGCCCATTAAGGCCCAAAGCAGATGGTGGCAGCTCCCTTGGGGAACCCCTGCCAGACAGGGTGCAACTGAGGAGTCTCTAGGCCCTGTGGCCTCCCAGAGAAACCCAAACACGGCGCGGTGTGGCTGGGGCCAGGCCTGCACCCCACCTGCCCACCTAGAGTCTCAGGCATGTCTTTTGACAGTGACAGTTTTTCAGGGTGACCTGGGAAGTTCCCTTCTATCTGTTGGTAGTCAGCAGCCCTGCCTCACCCCACCTGTGCCAGAGACAGAGGTAACTCTCCTCTGAGACCAGGATATGAGGTCATGTCCCAGCCTGTGTCTCCTTGCTGTGTGATAGTGGGCAGGTCACAGCCCTCCCTGGGACTGTTTCCCCATCTGTCGAGCAGGGTAAGAAAATCAGCCAGGTGAGGTTCAAGAGTGGCCCCAAGGTGCCACCTCCCTAACCCCCAAGTGACATGAGGGAAGCCAGGACATGTTGTGTTATGGCCACAGATGACAAACTCGGGTTGAAAGGGCTTGTGTGTGTGTGTGTGTGTGTGTGCGTGTGGGTGGGGGGGTACCCAGTGCTGACTGGTAAAGGCCACAGTCTCACCTGGACACAGGTGCTTGTGGTGCAGCAAGCTACTGAGGAGGAAGCCCCTCCTCTTCCTGACCATCCCTGAGCCTTGCCTCCGGGCTCTGGCTGGAACTAGCGGCCTCTACTTTGAACTTCCTTTCCTCTCCATGCATGGCCTATAATTATTCCCACTGTGGCCAGCCAAGCCATGGTGGCGCCCTCAGAAAACGTGGTTTGTGCACCCAGCCAGCTTGGTCCAGGAGCCCAGCCAGGACCTTGGATGAGGCAACCCTTTGTCCTCTCTGTCTCCAAATGAGTCCTCAGCTTGGGTCTCTTGCTCCCCACAGGAGTCTACCAAGGGCTCATTTTCCAGGGCTAGCCAGAGGTGGGACTACAGCTAGACCAGGTACAGCATTCAACAAAGGCCAGGCCCACACTAGTGGCTTCTAGGAGATACAGACCTGTCCTGGGCCTAGGGTGAGCCACGTTTGGCCAGAGGCATCTTCTCCACCACAGTAACAAATACTCTTGAGTCCCACTGTCTGCCTGCCAGACCTCTGGCTTGCAGAGTTAGGAGGTGTAGTGATGGATCCACAAGGAAGGAAGGAAGGATTGTCACTGGAGACCTGAGGGGTCAATGTCCTCTGCCTGGCCTTGTAAATTGAAGATCTTGATTGGCCTGGGAGTCTGGAGTTGAAGTCAGGTGGATATCATCAGGGCTTAGCAAATTGTAGCCCAAGGGCCAGCTTCTGGGTTTTGTAAATAAAGTTTTATTAGCACATAACCGTGCCCATCCAGTGCATTTGACTTAGCAGCAGATTTAAGTGGTGTGTTAGAAACTACCAGCCTGAGGGGCAGAAAGTATTTTACTCTGGCCCATTCTGGAAATAGTTGGTGGAACCCCACATCTACAGGGGTCTAAAGGGGGAAGCCCCTGCAGACTGGGTGCCCCCCACTCAGAGAAATGTTTACAGAGGCGTGTCCCCCCCCAGAGGCCAGGGAATCACAGGAAAAAGTATGCAGTTCTTTAAGGTAGTAGGGACTGGTTGGAGCCCCTGCCAAGGCTGAGCACTGGACAGGGGGAGGGTATCAGCCTCAGGGTTGGACCTCGTCCCCCTCCTCCAGCCAGAAGTGGCTGCTGTAAACATCCAGGGCTAAGGAAGTTTTCAGGCCACATTTGGACCTGGTCCCACACAGATGATTGCACTGTTAACAATTTAGGCACTGCACAACCTGAGCACCTACTAGATAGCACTCTGGACTCTGGTCACCCAGGACATGGTAGCCCCTGCAGTCCTGTAGGGAGTGAGATGCAGAAACAGGCAGTTGCAAGCTGTGTGCAGAGGGGAGTGGAAGGGGTGTATGGGAGGTGCTGTCAACAATGTTTGTTGAGGGAAACACTTGTAATACAGCAAGGTGCTGTATTACAGGGAAGGAGGTTGGGTGCAGAGGTGGTATTTTGTTTTGGAGGCCGCAGGGAGCCCAAAAGGTTTAAGCAGAAGAGTAACGCGGATTTGAGGGAGTAGGGTGTGAGGGTTTGACCAGGCAGCCTCTGGGAGCCTCGCTGCTAGTGCCACTTGGCCCCTGTGCAGCAGAACCGGTGTTTTACTCAATCTGCAGCTGACCTGTCTGCACAGTCAGGTATGGGAGGCCCTGGCTTTGCTGTCCAGTAGAAGGTGGAGAAGCATGGTGGGAGACAGTTGTCAAGAAAGATCCCCTTGGTCTGTGGTGCAGCTTGAAGGATGTCAGGGTCATTCACTGTATGAGGGAGCAAGGTGAACCGGCAAGACTTGACCTCTAGGGGCAAGTGCATTCCTGCTGTGACTGTTCTGAGAGCCACAGAGCCCCCTAGTGGCCATGGGAAATCACAGACTCTGGCAGTTCCCACCCAGGCTGCAGGTTAAAGTGACATCTTACTTCCTACCTGGGAGCCCTCCAAACATATGCTCCCAAGGTAGCTTTCGGGTTTTGGTTTGTTCATTATATGAATTGCTGGGCTGTTGGCATGTCATATGCCCAAACCTAGCAAACCCGTTTCCCTTGAACAAATGAGTTTATTACCTAACAGTTACATCTCAGTGAAGCTATAAAGTTAGCAGTCATCCCTTAGACATCCTTTAGACAGCACTAAATGTCACCTGGGCAAGTCAGGTGTAGCATGGGGTCCCTCTTTCCTGGGAGGAGCTGATGCCCAGCTGGAATCCCAAAGCAGAGGGCATGAGCTTCATGACACAGAACCTGGCACAGAAGTAAGTGCCCTGTCCATGTTTGTTGATGAAGTGTTAGAGAGTCTGCAGGACATGAAGCTGACCACGCGGTGGGAACCAGGGCCCATGTTCATGTGTTAAGTAACTGGTCTGTGTGGCTGGGGCAACTTCAGGGGTGGCACCCAAGGGCCACATTGACTCAGGTGGCTCATGTTAACATTCAACATGGCAAATCCACAAACCCCATGAGCCAGGTGTAGTTGTCCACATGTTCAGATGTGGAGATTGTGGCCTCTGAAAGTGAGCAGCATGCTCCTCGCTGTGAAAGCGGTCAAGTCAGGAGGCAAGAGGGGCGAAACCACACTGGGCTTCCCGGTGAGCCAGGTCGGGATTTATTCTGAGGTTCCCAGAAGCTGCAGAGGGCATTGAGAGGGGATACCCAGATCAGGTGTAGATTTTGGAAAGCATGAAGGGACAGCTGTGGGGGCAGAGAGAGAGAGGTCGCAGAGCCGCCAGTGTGCTGTTTTCTGGAGAAATCTCCAGGGCCAGGACAGGGGACCAGAGTGGATGAGGAGAAATGTTGGGCTGAGATCTCACTCCAGAATGAAGGTCAGAGGCCAAGTCTGTGGAGTCTCTGCCCTGCCTCCTGCTCACTCTGCTGACTTCATGTCCCCTCCTCCCTGCAGGAAGGATGCCTGTGGCCCTCGGAAAGCACAGTGTCAGGCGGTGGAATCCCAGAGGTGAGACGCAGCACATCTGTCCCCTCGCACAGCAAGGCTGTTGGCTGTTAAGGGGTTCTGCCCCTTGGAGGCTGGGACCCTTGATGGGGGGGGGTCCCACCCTTGCCTTTGGGAGGCCCACAACACCTGTGGCAGGTAGCAGAGCTGCCCCTGTGCTCAGGAGGCTCTGTGGTCATCAGGGGCTGTCTCCGGGCCTCCCTCCCTCACCGGCTCCTCCCTGTGCAGCCGCAGGTCTACTCCGCGCCCCGGCCTGCAGACCGCCTGGCCGTGCCGGCCTTCGCCCAGCGGGATCGCTTCCACCGCTTCCAGCCCACCTACCCCTACCTGCAGCACGAGATTGACCTGCCGCCCACCATCTCGCTGTCCGACGGGGAGGAGCCCCCACCCTACCAGGGCCCCTGCACCCTCCAGCTGCGGGACCCCGAGCAGCAGCTGGAGCTGAACCGCGAGTCAGTGCGTGCACCCCCCAACAGAACCATCTTCGACAGTGACCTGATGGGCAGCTCCGTGCTGGGGCCCTGCGCCCCCAGCAGTAACTCGGGCATCAGCGCCACGTGCTACAGCAGCGGAGGGCGCATGGAGGGGCCACCACCCACCTACAGCGAGGTCATCGGTCACTACCCCGGGGCCTCCTTCCAGCACCAGCAGAGCCACGGGCCATCTTCCTTGCTGGAGGGGACCCGGCTCCACCACCCACACATCACCCCCCTGGAGAGCAAGGAAAAGGAAAAACAGAAAGGTCACCCCCTCTAGGAGCCGGGGGTGACTGGGGCAGCTGTAGGTAAAAAAAAGTCAAAACACTCCGCACTTCATAGAAGAGAAGAGAGAGGAGGGCAGGGGACAGACAGGAAATGCAGCGTGTGCCACCCCCAGCTCTCATGTATAAATATTTACTTGTTCTGTCTGGTCTTGAATGCACAAGCTCAGTTGCAGAAAACCTTGTTGAGCCGTCTTGAAGGCAAAAGAGAAAAAACAAATTCTACAGTAGTCTTTTTTTGTTGTTGTTGTTGTTTCTAGTCGAGCCGTGTGCGTGAATGCTTAATTTCCTTTTGTGATGGTTTCACTTAACTTTAAAGAAATGTTTGCACAAAACCTTTGTTTAAAGATCTGCAATATTATATATAAATATATATAAAATAAGAGAAACTGTATGTGGGGGGGGCAGGAGTATTTTTGTATTAGAAGAGGCCTATTAAAAAAACATTGTTTTCTGAACTAGAAGAAAAAAAGAGGCAATTTTTGAGTGCCAACTCAGAAAGTGTATTACCTTGTAAAGAAAAAAAAAATGACAAAGCAGGGGTTTAGAGTTATTTATATAAATGTTGAGGATTTTGCACTATTTTTTAATATAACTATCTCAGTGCTTGTTTGAGGGAAGCTTGCATTATGTCTGTTGAGACGTGGAGGGAGTTCAGAGTCAGAAGTGTCCCCTGGAGTCTGGAGAGGAGTGGGCGGGGAAGGGCAGTGTCCCTGGGGCCCCTTTCCTACAGATGGGGCACTCTGTCTAGCACAGGTGGATGACATGCTACGCATTCCCTGCGGAAGGGGACACCTTTTTTCCCCTCTGGGTCAGGATTGCCTTTGGACTGCAGGTGAATCAAGAAGGTCCCCACTGAGGCACCGAGTTCCACCAGGTGGTTTTTGCCTTTTCCAAAATGAAAATAAACTCTTATGGAAGGAATCTTAGTTTTTCTTCTTCTGTTACAAACTGCAAAGGTTCCTGTGGTATGGGCAAGTGCTCCCAGCAAGCTGCAGCCACTCCCTGCGCGTGTGACCAGGGGCGAGGTGGCTTGTTGGTTGAAGTTCAGCTGACCCCAGAATTTATCAGCCAAGGTTGATTCAGTACACCGGCACGTAAGAAAGGCCGGCAATATTAGCGACTTGACCTCAACAACGTTTGTGCCCTTTGTATATTGATTTTCACTTGAGGCCAATAAAAAGACACCCAGCCATGAAAAGGTGACGAGCCCAGGGTGCTCTCAGGACACAGGGAAGGGTTAAATCAGAAAGGACAGTCAGGCTCCAGAAGAATTCCCTACCTTCTCCTTCCCCACAGTTTCATTCCCTTCACCTGTGTCTCGTGTTACCTCTTCATAGCATCTCTGTCAGACTCAACTCTCCTTTACGGCTTTTATGAGTAGGTTGGAATTGGAGGGACCCCCTGTTGTAGGAGGAATGGGTGTGCACAGAGGTGACTACAGATCGCCAAGTGCAGACCCTTGGGGTGTCACAGGATCAGTGGCTGGAACTCAAGGTCTTCCTAGCACACCTCCTGTCCCTCATTTTCCCCAGATTGCTAACTAGTAGGCTAGCATAAAAGAAAGACATACGAAACAATAAATGTGTGAACAACTTTTCTATTACTTGAAAAAGTTTAGAAGTTCTGACGCTGGACCTCTGTTTATATGTGTGCATTTGAAGAGCATGGTGGCTGCAGAGCCTGGGACCTAAGCAGTCTGCACACCTGCCTGGCAGGAAGTTCCTGCCCCTGTCACCTGCCAGACCTGCTTTTCCAAAGGTCTTGGCATAATATTTGCTTCTTTCTTAAAGAGGGTTCTTTCAAAGGTTGGGCAGCGAAATCAATAGAGCTTGTCCTGGAGGGACACGCTCACAGTGTTCCCATCGTGCCTCCTGCAGGGGAAGCATCTGGTGCCTTACTGGGGAAGCGGTCACCCTCTTGTCTCGGGCGGGGATGTTCCCGGACAGTGCCTCACCATCGGGACCGGTCCACAAAGGGCTACTGTGTCTTTTAAAGTATCACCCCCCTTGTGCCCTTGCTCCCCGCCCCCGCTGTGAATGTGCACTGTTGGGAGGTGTCCCCTATCATCCCTACAACCTCTGTGGTCGCCAACTGTGTATGACTCCCATCTGGGTTGAAAGCCAATGAGGGCCTCATCTGTGTGTATGGCGCCAGCCCAAAGTCAGGCTAACGTCCTCCCAACAAACTGTTGGAATGTTTGCTTTATAGTATGGCTGTGTGTGCCACCAGTGAGACAGGAGGGCGAGGTTACCGCCTCAGCTGGCTCAAGGACAGAGCCCGGCCCTCTGGTTACAACCAGGCTTATGTCCAGGCTGCCTGGGCTTCGTCCCCGAAGGGCCAGAGCTGTAGAAGTTCAATGTGAGGGGCTTGTCAGCGACAGGGCACGCCCCAAGAGAATCGATGGGTGTTAGTCTGGGAACCACGTGGGCCCCTGCCGGGCCTCAGCGCTGGGCACCTTTCCTCCACACGCTGGCTGCCCTGTCGTTAGGTTTTCCAGTAGGACGTTAGGTGGGCCCTGGGAGAGTGGCTGGTTGGAGAGGGACCAGATTGGTTTTGGGGTTCTGCTACACTATCCGGAGTTCAGAGAAGGTGGCAGAGCTCATTGCCTGTCTGTCCTCAGGTTTCCTTTGGAGAAAACTCATTTCCCTGTTCCTCTACACGAACAGACTTACAAAATTGCACTAAGAGCAATTTTTGCAAAAACTCAAGTGTTTTTGCAAAAAGTTAAAGGCCATCCCTTTTCCTCACGTGTAGCCAAAACCAGGACTGGGCGAGCACTGGCTCCTGTCCCTGTCCTTGCTGGTGCAAGGTCCTTGCTGGTCGTCCCCGTGAACTGTATGTTTCAGATCAGTTTTTTTTTTTTTCCCTGTGTGCAACACAGCTTCCAGAACTATGGAACATCACAATGATAGAAAAGAAAAGGTGTTTTGTTTTCCAGACTCTGCACTTGAAATGTCGCTGTACATAGAGCTTGAAGGGCCACGCCGCCTCCCCTGCCTGACCCGACTGTCATGCTCACCAAACTGCTTGCACAGGTGTCCTCAGCGCCGGACGCTCCCCCTTGCAGCTCTGTTCTCTCAGTTCTGTTCGCGTGAAACCTCTGTAAGCTCTCTGTGCACGCCAGGCACAGCACTCACGTCGCTGCTGTGTAAGACTGTCTGGATGCCCGTCCCCAGGCTGAAGAAATTGCTTGTTGTGTGTCGCTGATCATTAGTGGCAATGATGACATTCTGAAAAGCTGCAATACTTATACAATAAATTTTACAGTTCTTTGGAGTGAGGCCTTTTGTCTTCTTTGTCTGAGTTGCTCCCTCCCCTTCCCACCCTCTGCCACGACCCCAGGATGCAGGTAGTGGAGACAGAGTGGCTGCTGCAGAGCCTTAATTTGTCTGATTTCTCTTTTAGTTCATGCAGGGATCCCAGAGAAAAGAAAAGATCTGACAGGCGGGTCTAATAAAGTGGGTGGCATTGGGGCTGAGAGATTGCAGTTTTCTGCCCTCATCATGGCATGGCGAAAGCTCTGATAAGGTCTGCAGCAAACAAACCTTAAGGGGGGGTTCTTCCAGAAGTAAGCCCTGAGACGTGGACTTGTGTGCAAGGGATGCTTTAAGGTTAAGAGGAGCTAGGGGAGGATGGAGATGGAGAAGTGAGCGAAGAAGATAGTCTTCAGGAATTCCCGGGAAGGCCTGTGGGGAGCCACGGATTAAGCTGCAGTGAAGAGAGGCAGGTGCCCTGGCAGGGTCCCAGAAGCCCCAGCATGGCGTTTGAGGTGCCAGTCCTCAGTTCAAGGGGCACATAGAGCTGGGACGCACACACCCTTAAAAGAGCTCCAGGGAGAGTCAGTGGGGCCCTGAGTGTCCACCCCAGAGAGTGTTTCCTTTACTTCTCAAATAGAGCCTCTTTAATGTCCAATCAAAGATTGAAAAGCATTGGCCACTATGAAGACCAGAGTTTCCCCTGGGGTGACTGCTGCTTAACCTCAGCCTCTGGGCCCCGCAGAACAAGAGAAATATCTCAACACAGAGATGCTGATGGGAAGTGGTACCCATGGGATCCACCTGAACTTCGCTCCCATCTGCCTCCCCTGCTTCCTCTTTCTGGTGGGGAAAACCCCAGAAATTATAAAGAACCAGGGAGTAGCCAAAAGAGTTTATTACCCCCAATTGAGAGGTCCTGGACTCTGTCCTGCCTTCAAGCTGGTTCCCCCCGACCATGGTCACATAACTTGCAACTCTCTGTCATTTGTCTCTGAATTGGGGAGGGGCCTGTGAGGGGTTTGGCCCTTTAGCTTTCTGGGTGGTTTGAGGTCTTGGGCTGGGCACAGGCAAAACCAAGCAGGGCCTTTCCCAGTAGAGCGGGGGTGTTTTGGGCTCCGGTGAAAAAAGACCCTCCATCCTTAGGTGCCACTCAAGCCGACAGCCACCTCGGATCTGGAATAAGGAAGGAAGCCAGAGCTAATGCTCGCCACATGCCTCTGAGTACCTAGCACGGTGCTAAGTTCTGCCCAAAGTCTGCGGCTATTCAGGGACGATTTTGAGCATGACTGGGTGCCAGGCACCAGGCTGGCTGCTGCAGAGAACTCAAGCTGACTTCAGGGATGCTAACCCACATGAGGACAAGGACAGTGGGCTGTTTGCAGCCAGAGGGTGGCTTAATGCGAGCCAAGGGCTGCAGGTGCCCTGGCCCTCGGGTAGATGGCATCCTACTCAATCCCCACAAGCTGACAATACTCCTAACCTTCCCTCCCCACCCCCAACTTCTGAACATCCTCACTGGGCCAGCCTCCCTCTCACATGCCCAGCTCATGCAAGGCACATCTTGTGACCATCTCAAGACATCTGTAGAAAGAGGGAGTGATGGCTGCGTGCACTTTCAGACCACCGTGAAGTCCAGGTATTGTCAAGTCTGTCCTCCCTGAGTCAGGACCAGTGAGTGAGGGAACACAAAGGGAGGGGTGAACCTGCAGCTGTGGGACCCAGGGTGTGGGGGGCAACGCAGCCCCCTGGATGGGAAGTGGACCCTGAGGAAGGGGACACCCCTTCTCCCTGGCACGTCAGTGGGAAGGGCCACCATGAGGCTGGGGTGCTAGAGAAGCCAGGTGTGGCAATGAGCACTGCGCTCCTTGACTCAGGAGCATGGCGTGCCTAAACACAGAGCCGGACAAGAAGGAAGGACTCAGATGCTATTCATAGGAATCCAGTGAGCAGGCCTGGCACCTGTGCTAGGTGTCAGACCCCAGGCCAGGGACATGGGGTGACTACACAGACATGTCCTCACCTGGGTTTCCTCTGGGCTGGCGGTGGCCATAGGGGCAGGCAGGTCCCCCCTTCTTAACAACTCCTCAAAAGTGTAATATCAGATATGTGGCAACCAGGATGGCACCCTGGAGCCACTCGGGAGTCTGGAGCCTCCGTCCCATTTGGCTTGTCCTGCCCAAATGCCAGCTAAAATGAACAGGTGGTCTGGACGGGCCTCATGCTCCCTGTCACAGCAGCAGGGCTCTCAGTTGGCACCTCTGAGAAACTTGTGGCGTGTGACTGCAGCAGTGGGAGCTCTGAGCTCGCGCTCAGTGGTGGCCACATCTCCCTGGTGGCGCCTCCTGGACACCTTCTCCCCCTCCCTCCTGTGTGGGGGGCACAGCTTGTGTCCCTCACCACTCTTCACCACTCAGCCTAAACCAGGCTCCCATCCCACAGTGGCCACCAGAGCTCCTGGCTGGCACCCTCCCCTGGAGGGGACCCTACATCTGGTAGGGCTCAGAGCCTCCATGGCCCCTACAACCTAGGAGATAAACTCGCACCCTCTCGAAGCCTCACAAGGTTCTAATAGCTGATGCTTCTCTGTGTTCTCCAATGCCCGGGAGAGAGCTCTGTGGCTTGCACCTGCTCTTTCTCACCATACGCCTGCATGGCAGCTGCCCTTCTGCCCAGAATCCCCTACTCTGGGCCCCTTTACTGTCCTTAGCTTCCTTCAGTATTAAGGCCCAGTTCAGATGGCACATCCTCCAGCAAGTCTTCCAGGACGTCCCCTCTCCCCACTTCTCAGTGTCATCCCTCTGTCACAGTCACAGCATTGCATGTCCACAGCTGGCTCCCAGGGCACCAAGCTCCTCAAGCCAGGGCCAGACCTGTGCACTGTTTATAGGGATACAGAGATGCTCACAGAACGGGACCTGCCCTTCTCGCTCCTTCTAACTCGACAATCCCATCTTCAGATAACCTAACCATGGCTGGCCTCCCTGTCACCACTTACAAGAACTGGGACACTCTGTCCCTCCACCTACACTGCCCCTTCACTCTGCAAGGTCCTCAACTCTTCCATCAGACAGACAGAAGTGCGATTGCAGCTGTCTAGCTGAGGGCAGAAGGCACCTTTTCCACTCACCCCAACAGCCAGGAGCAAACAGGAAGGAGCAGGCCTGGGTGCCACCTCAACCATTATGTAGCTCTGGGTTCCTGGCTACAAGTATGGAAAATAAGCCAGCAGGGATCTGAGCCCCCTAAAATGTCCTAGTTCTAAAGCAAGTTGTCCCCAGACACACCAGGGTCCTGCAGGCCCTGGGCCGTCTGCGTTGTTCCTCTAGATCAAGGTTCAACAAATTATGGCCCAGGCACTAAGTCCCCAGCTGCCTGCTTTTATAAATAAAGTTTTATTGGCACACAGCCAAACCTGTTTAGTTACACACCGCCTGTAGCTGCTTTAGTGTTAGAGCGGCAGAGGTGAAGGGTTCCATGGCCCAGAAAGCCCAAAATTATCTCATCACACTCAAAGACAGAAAAGAAGACTATTCTTCTTTGTACCATGTTAAAGAAATAAACCTTCAGAAATCATCTTTATTTTCAGAAGTTTTACGTTTACAGAAAATTGAGACTATACTTAGCCCAGATAGCCAGTTCTGCCTCCTGTAAACTGCTAAGTGTATTTGTCATAGTTACTGAGTCAGTATTGAAACACAAGGCCAGACTTTATTCAAACATCCGTAGCGTTTTGCTTGCTGTGTTCCAGTCGCCTCTGGAATATCATATTGTTGTTAGTTCTGATACCCTATCTCCTTCAGTTCCTCTGGGCTGTGACAGTCTTCCAGACTGTCTTGTGTTGTTGACCTTGACCGTGTGGAGCAGTGTTGTTTTGTTGACCTCTTTCTATTGAGGTGTGACCCCAGTGGGGTTGGGAAGGTAGGACACAGAGGTCAGGGGTTCTTCTCAGCATTTGTAGCCAGGGCCATGCTATCAATGTGACCTGTCACTGCTGAGGTTGACCTTGCTCACCAGGCTGAGGTGTTTGTCAGGTGTCTCAGCTGTGCAGTTCTCCCTTCTCTCCCTTTTCACTCTTTTCTCTTGGGAAGGAAGTCGCTGAGTGCAACCCACTCTGGAGGGCTGGAGGGCTGTGTTCACTCCTCAGGGAGAAGTATCTGCAGAAGTCATTTGGAATTCCTCTGTGTAAGAGATTCATTCATTTGTTCATTCATTTACACCAGTAGGGACTCATGGATATTTCTTTTGTACTTTAGGATATAGTCCAAAGCTACCTTATTTATTTTGCTTCTCAAATTGCCCCAGCTTTGGCCAGTTGGCTCCTTTGTCCCTTTGACATATCCCATCCTTGTTACTTGAGTTTGTGGTTTTTAGCTCTTCCCCACCTTCTGGTGCAGTCAGATGCTCTGGCTTCACCTCCCGTATTTCCTGCTCCACTTCCAGAGCCAGCCATCTCTCCAAAGGCCCCAGTTCCTTCACTGGAAAACGGTATTAAGAACTAAGATCCAGTTGCCAGGCAAGGTGGTACATGCTTGTAATCCCAACACTTGGGAGGCTGAGGTAGGAGGATGGTGAGTCCAAGGCTACCTGGATACATAATGAGACTCTTGTCTCAAAAGAAAAAAAAAAAAAAGAACTAGAATGTGGGTTCTGCTGTGCTTACTGAGCTGTTAGCACTTCCAGACCCTCTCAGCTGCTGGAGCAAGGAGATGTGTGTGTGCACAAGGGTGCGCTAACCCACGTGTGTGTGTGCAGACATTTCTACATGTAACCATCTTCCTCTAAATTAATGAGTTTGGACACTCACACCGATGACTCTGACGCAGACCTGCCATCACCTGGGTCATCTCAGCCTCCTCCCCTTGCTCACCTGTCACCTCCATTTATGTTCCTGTTCAGTTCCAGTGCAGGAGGTCAGCTGTATCAGAATCAGCCATGGTGCCCCCTAGGAAACCACCTTTTCTGCTCCAGTTCATGGCACA